AAGCAGATGCTTTCAGACAAATGGGCTCAAAAGGTATTTCTAAATAATTGTACATAATTTTTTCGTCGACTAACTGCTAGGGAATCAATAAAAAGTATGGCGTACTTAAATATGAATATTTTGAATAATGGTCTGATTATGCATACTTCGCATAACTTCGCACAAGTTCGCATAAACTTCAAACTGTAATTTCGTATGTATTTTGTATTATTCCATTGCCCAGAAATTAGCAGAACTTTTAAAAACTTAGCGAGATGTTGAGTTTAGATTTCGCTTCACATTTTCTTAAGTTACATTTTTATGCACTGGTACAAATGGTTGTGCGAAGTTATGCGAAGTATGCATAATCAAACTCTAAAGAAGCGCACAGTTAAAGTTTAAAATTTTTCTCAAAACTATACTTTTCATTACTCCAGCAACGATTTTATTATTCTGATTAATAAAATATTTGCCATAATTAAAAACAATATTTATATGCATGTTCAAATTATTATACCTTATTTATTATGTATGTATATAGGTAATTTTTACATAACACTTTCAACCCACAATTTCAAGGGTACAATGTTAGTGTAAACAGCTGGGTTGTTTTTGTTGGCACAACCATTACCCCACGAAGTCAAACCAACCAACTTGTTATTAGAAACCAATGGCGTGCCAGGATAAGCATCACACGCGCTATTCGCAGCAAGACCGCAAAACATTGTATTTAAAATGTCACCCGCTATGTAGTTATAATTTCCAGAAACGCAATTCGTGGTACTGATGATAGTTACAGAAAAATTTACCACTGATTTCTTTGCATCCCAACCGCAGAGTACGCCACTTGTAGGTAAGCTGTCTGCCAATGAAACGTAACTTACACTCACAGCCGCCTCAGCCAATTTCAAGACACCGATGTCATTCTTGTTGGTGGTGGGATCGTAGCCTCTATTAAAAGTATGTGAAGCGACTTTAATGATCTGAGCACCATTGTTGACGGAAACCACCAATTGGTCAGCATCGTAGTTAGCCAAACAGTAGGCGGCAGTAACAACGTGCTTGGAATTAATAAAAGCACCACCACAGACGATGGTTCCATCGGCTAGCTGCAAGCTTGCGAGGTACGAGTTAGCGCTAATAGAGGAAGCTGTACCACCTACAATTCCATCAGCGTGGGCGCCTGTAGCTGCGATCAACAGCAATAAAGTGCAAACGAATTTGTTGGCCATTTTAGTACTCGTTATATAAAATGCGGAGTGTGAAACCTTTAACTGTGCTCCATTTTTGAAGTTATCGAGCCTTATATACTGTTGTATTGTTGCTACCACGTATTTACGAGTATAACGAAATTGCAGTTAATTTATAATGTGTAAGCTACAAATGCTTAACGTGTGGAAATCCGTCACGAGCTATATTGAAATATTGTTTAATGTTTAAAACATGCGCTGTTCGTTGTAAGCTTGTGAAGACTAGAGTTAATAGCCCGTTCAGACTATCGTAATTTAAACACATTAATTAATATACACACTCGGTAGAAGCGTATAGTGAAACATTCATAAAATTGAACTGCACTCTAAAAAAAAATTGTGTAAATTTCCTAGCTAAAAGGTAGGTTACTGATTTTCTACCTTATTATTCGCGAAATGACATGCGCGATTATTCAACGAATAGTTCGTTTAAATTTGGGACTTTTTAGAGTGTTATAAAGCTGCTGGGTGTGCTTAAATTTACTACGAAATTGTGTACAAGCTACAAAATACACATCTGCTGTTTGACTTCACCCGTAGAATTGTCTAAAGCCGCTAACAAAAAGGGATTTTTACACACGAAACTGTGTAAACGAGAAAAATACATATTCATCGTGTAAATTTACCAAAACCTTTAAAAAATATACAAAAATATACTCGATTTATAGTCGCATTTTTAAACAGATTTTTTAGAGTGTACGAGAGAATGGGACGAATGCGTTTGTTTGTTGTAATATTGGTGCGAAATTGATAAGTTCTTATAATTTTTTGTTTTCAATTTTTTTATCTTATTATTATTTAAACCTATATATGTACAAATTTCTAGAAAAGAGACGAGTGGCTTATGGTAACTAAAATATGAAAAAATGCTTTTGTTGAGATGTGATCAATATACCTTTGAAATAGAGTATCAATATTTTTTTTTCAATCGTGTTGTCGATTCGGTGCGAAAGTACGACGATGATGCTATTCTGTCTAACTGAAAATCTTGTACGTGAGCTCGTAAACTTTGGCAATTGCAGGTAGAAACAATGGCAATTCTTTCCTTGCATTATAAAATCATATAATACTTTTTCGATTGTTTGAAGTCGAATTAGATGCAGCCTTTGAAATTCAGCTTGCAACTCAATTATGGATACTGTTGCTCTCGGACCATGATAAAATTTGCTATAATTTTTATTTTTTTTATTATTTTTTTGTTCTGAAATGACATGAAGCCTTTGAATCGATGTTACGCACGGTAAGTGTTGCCACTGACGAAAAAAAATACTTACCATCCACATAAAAAAATCTACCAAATCTGAAAAATTTCTACCAATAACTTTTTTTAGTTATTTCAATAAAAATTAAAACTGTTTATTAATGAACTTTGTGTTTAACTAATGATCTGGTATTTGAGATCATATTAATGGCATCTTCTCGAAAGTGATGAAACTAAAGGCAACAACGAAGCGTCATCATTTGAAAAACTTTAACTGGAGTTATTATAGACAAGTATATTAGGGCTGTTCAGTTGGAATTACATTTGTATTTTTGTGAATTTACAAATCTAACGAATTCGCAAATGCAAAAGCATATGCACAAGATCCTGAACAGCCCTATTGAATCAAACAACCGCTTGGTATTTTCCTAATATCCACCATGTTTTTCATGTAAATTTTATTTCTTTTTTTTTTTGTATATATAAGAATATTGTATTAATAACCAAAACCATAAAAAATCTAGGATTCAAGTTATATCCAACATTCAGAAAAATTAAAAAAAATCGTCTAGCTTTCGAACTTTGGGTACGCAGTTTTATCGTCCATGGAATTTTTAGTTTAACCAACAGCTAAAAATTTCCATTGATTGAAAAAAAAAGCCGCCGGTCTTTTGTGTTTTTGTTTTGTCATTTGACAATTGCCGTTTATAAAATCTGGCGTGGTTTTTTTTTTTGTGAAAAATCATATCAATTCTTTCCAAGGCGAATTAATATAAGGTGGTGTTACTAGCTCAACTGATTTTGTGTATGTGTTTCGCCGCACGGCTTCTGATATCAAATTGAAAAATTTTGTTTGAATTTCTACACACACTCTTACAGATTTTGACAGTTTATGCCGCCAAAGCAAAAACAAAATGCATGTAAATTTTTGTTTTTGTACTCCTGCTATCTTCTTCTTCTTCTT